TTGGTTTTGCACATCATTATAATGTCCTTTAAAAAAATAAACGTTACAAGGTAAAGCAATTCTAATGTTTGATTTATACGTAGGCCATGTAAAATTGTATAATTGTTATTCTTTGCAGGGGAATATTTGGTGTAATTATATTGCTAATATGTCTCATCTGTTACTGTTGCAATAAGAAAATTTACGATGACGATTTTGAGACATCACACTGTGGACTTACGAGGAGTTCGAACGTACAAGGACATCGGCATGTATGTGTACTTTGTCACGTTACACTGGCAAACCTGCTGTTTGTAAAATCTAAGGTTACCTTTTGTATCTTAGGAAATATTTTCTTTAGGTAAAATTTTTAAGTTTTTTTATTTAGTTTTCACTTGTATAAAAAGTATAATATACCTGTATCAAAACATTCATTATACTAAAGTATGCAGGATTATTTTTTTCTAAAACAGAAATTATTATTCAAATCATAAATAAAATGTTTTTAACTGTGTACCAGTTTAACGTTGAATATTATTGATGATTTTAAGTTTATACACAAGTGCCAAAATACTATAATTAGAAATTATTATTGTTAGTTGATGGCCTATGCTTGAAAATAATACTATTAATCAGTTGTTAAAAATGGCGCATTTAACGTCAGTGAAATCGGGATAGATTGACGGGCCGCCAAAGTAATGAAATTTTTTTTTATAAATTTCCATACCTATACCTGATCAGTACGGACGGGCCCTCTAAGAAAATTGCACAGAGTAGTTTGAAGTGCTGAAACGTTTCTAGTTGTTAACCCTGAAAACCTCGATTGGTTACCAGTAGGACCAGATATTACATCATGATGAGAAATTTGATGGTTTTCCCTATTACAATTCTTAGTGTAAAGAACTTGCCATCACTTACTTTCTATGTAAAATACATAGGAAATTCCAACAGTAATTAGTGGGATTAACTGTAATAATACTGACAATTGTTACGTATTACAATTTCAGATAGGAAAAAAACTTGACGAAATTGGCGGTACCATTTGGGATGGAGCTGGTGGAGAAGTAACATAATTGATTACATCAGTCAAATGTCAGTTCATAATATAATCAAGGCAGTCGTAAACGTAATTACAGTACTTACGACTTTAGATGCAGAATAATAACCAAAACAAGTTCCTGAGCCTAGAAGGCGATGTAGATTTTAACACACATACACGCTTTTTGTTCGTTTATATTGCTTACAAAGCACTTCTTTAGTATTGTTACGACAGCGGAGGTCACGTGTCACTAGTAACACGCCACGCGCTTCTAGAACGTTCATGAAGCGTCGGGAGACTACTAAATATGTGGTAGTCTTGTATATATAAGACCGGCCAAGAAGCGACGGGAACAATGTGTAATTGAACTGCGGACAGAGTATTGTTGAGTCGAGCACGTGAGACGTTCGTTGTGAATTATGGCGTTTGTTATAGCGCGACTGTTGAAATTAAGTGTATCGCAAAGTTGTATTCAGAAAGAATAAACCGGTTTTATTTAAGAAGGGACTTGTATCGGTAAAGTTTCTTCGGAAAGAATTTTTATGGAAAATTAACTAACGACTAGAGACGTAACAGTATGTTATCTCGTGAAAAATATCGATTTAAATGCTATTAAGACAGCTGTGAAAAGTCGGTGATATATCTACATCAATATAGATTTGAATATTAACTTCATAAGTTTTATTATCAAATATAAAATTTAAAGATTAAACATATGGTGTAATGAAATAATGTACAGATGCTCTATGAAATAGAAAATACCTATGTATAATAAAACATGTTCCTCTCAAACAGATCGTGACAATAAGTGGTGCACCACAAGAACCTGTGACACCATCACCTCCCCCACCTTATGACGATGCTATCAAGAAAGGAACACGTTTTCAGTTTGATCAGAGTCCCCCATCTTACGAAGTTGCACTATCTTGGCAGAATTTTCCAGGTGTTCACAACTTTGGACTTGAAGAATCTTCAATCTTACACAGACCACAATATCAAATATTGCCAACATTAATGCCCTCGTGATAAACGCTGGTTGTGAAGAAGGCTGTAAACACTTGCTTAGTGGCAATTACAATTGACACTATTTAATAATGATGCATCAGATCCACAATTTTTAGAAGGATCTGGGTGAGGGAATGACAGGGTAGCTTGATTTTCAGCAATCCTCGTTTACCAAATGTGGAGACATGATAAAAATAACTAAGTGCTTGACAAAAAAGTTGGTTTTCAATTGCTATAAATTGTTTAACAATTTTTGTAGAATTAGAAAGCAGTGACTTTTATAAGTATCATACTTGATGCCTAATAAAGGCCAACCTATTTTTAAAGTCTGACACCCATATGACAAAGCACATTAATTTGGATTTAAGTTTTTGTAAGTTATTCAAATGTTCTCTTTATGTACCATTTACAGATTATTTTAATTTGTAAGTGTTCTCACACTTCTTTATTGTCTGTTCTTTACAAGTGTAGTGCTAGCTTGTATTTACTTTTTTTAGTTATTTTTTATGTCTCTGATTTAAAAGCATCTAGTCATCCATTAAATTAGTCATTCTGTCCAGGTACAAAAGTTTAAAAGATTATTTGTAACTTCATTTGGTATTTTTTTAAGGAAAAAAAAACTCAATCTGAGGCCATTAGCTACATCTTGTTGAGAGTCACATGTATAATTTAACATTGAAAAGCCTATACCATAAGTAACCTTTATACCAGTGCTCAAACATGGTAGTGTTTTGATTCTACAATACTGATAACTCAGTGTTTACATTCTGCAATACATACAACTTGGCATTTTCATTCCAATGTTCTAGCACTATACTTTTTCAATTCCATATACTTTTCATTTTATTATGTTAATCATTCTGAGGTCTTGCAACCTCAGTTGGCTTTACATCCTGGTATTTTCACCTTGTTATAATATGAATATGCAACTCCATGAACTTGACATTGGTTTATGACTGAGATGTTTCCAACTGAAGACAGGACAAAATAGCCATATGTGTGACTAAAAGTTGGTTTTCATTTACTTTAAATTGTATAAATAAAATTTGAATAATTGGAAAGCATTGACTTTTTAATGTGTATTATTGATGCATATATTTTTAAGATCTATATAACAGACTTAAAACAAATCGAAGTGTTTTCAAACATGAAAGATATTTAGTTTGATGTGTCAATCATAAATTTGATAATTTTTGAGAACTTGTAGAAAGTATTGTGTTGTTTTTATGGGAACCTAAAACTGTTTTAGTATTTTTGTCTGTGGGCTTTAAACTTGTTAAAATATATATTGTAGAAAATTAAATTATAATTGTGAATGCTGTATTTTTTTATTAAAATAAGTTTTCTAATTTCATTATCTCAAGCTGTAAACATCATTTATAAATACACACAAAGGAAGTATTTTACAGCCCTAATTTTTCAAGATTCAAGAAAACCCTGTTAACAGAAATTTACTATTTGTTACACTGGTTTTAAACAAAATATTCTGGTTTGGTTTGGCCATGCTACTAGAAAACTACATCAGAACCCCCTTCATCCCTTAATCTGTTAGAAGTGTTCTTGTTGAATTCAACAAAACCTTGTAGCTTTAGATGCAACAGAGTAATAATATTTTAAATCCACAATATAAGACTGTTCTAGTTTTGCATAATTTTTTTTATGTTTGGAAAAACTGACTCTCTAATTTAGTTTGTAATCTAATGATATATTTAACGTAAGATTAACTTAAGTGGCTCTCTTAATTAAAAAAAAAAAAAATGACTCGTAGGATGTTTGCATGTCAGCTACAGAGAAAAGAAAGCCTGTGCTGAAATATTCTATGGTTGGTGATGTTGGTCTAAAGAAATAGTTAAAAATGTTGTTTCCAATATGATTTTATATTATAGGGCTTATTTTTCCCAATAAGGAAAACTAAGAGTAGTATTTCATGCTCCTTTTTATGTGACAATGTAAAGACTTCATCACAATTTACACAAAAAGCTTAACTACTCAAATGTAGAATTGTATATGCTAGTATGGACTTTTGCTTCACACTAAATCTCAAATGACACTTTACAACTAACCATCATCACATGACCCAATATTTCATGCTAGTTAAAACATTTTAAGTTATCATTGAAAAATAGAATGCTAGAAGCCATGAACACACTGCCATAATAAATAGATTAAAAACTGTGTAAAAACAGGCTGTAACAAGATGAGTTTAATGCACATGTATAAGGATTATATTTGTAAAAGAGCCAAAAAAAAACTAGCCAAATGAATGGAAGTTTTAGTATTGCCTTACATTTTCTTATAGTTGCTGGAAAACTGTAAATCATCAAGCAACAGAAGAAAATGCTAAAAACGTAGTTTAAATGTGTAACAAGGTGTATGCACACACACACAGCCTACCAATAAATAAATAGATACTCACCCCAGAAATAATGTCATTTTATTAAATAAACATGAAACAAAGGGTGCAAGATTATCATCTGTGGCATAAATAAGTTTATATATGTTTTTTACAGGATTGCTTTCCACTCCTGGCTAAGAACTTTTATCAGAGTGTCCCTATATGTTGGAGGGAACCAATAAGGACATACTACACATGCTTGATAGGGATCATATCTAGTGGCCTGGCTACATGAGAACAGTTAAAACACCTTCAAGCATTTGTTATACGAGACTCAGGATGATAGAACAGGCACCACTACTTGCATGAAATACTGTCTTGTCTGGTCATAAGTGTATACAAGTAGGACATGTTTGAGAATTTCCATACTCCAAACAATAGTGACTGTCTTTTCATTTAACCAGTAGCTGTCTATAAGACACCTTACACTGTAAAAACATTACCGTAGTATTTTGTTGTGGCTTTCAGAAATTCCATGATAGTTCTTGAGATATTGCTCATCAATTCCAGCTGCACTGACTATCTAAGAATTGTGTGAATGTCGATTTGCTGGAAAACATTACAATGCCTTAAATGTTGTCAGCATATGATATTTCTTGCAGTGAGGAGTGGTTTTCAGTTAACTACTCTAACATTGTAGCCCATACTATGAAGGCAAATTCAGGTGCTATTGGAGCATACTTGTACCTGCCCTGCAACAGTAGCAGCCATTTCATGTGGATCATTCTCTTCACTTCTTCAAAAAACCTCTTCAGTTGGTTTGGGGCACGTGGGTTCAGAAACTATTGTTTTCAGATGTGAATGGAATTGTATTGTCACCCTATGTACTATAAAGAATGGTACTGGAAGTAACCTAGTAATTTCCCACTGACTTTGACCACCCTTCCATCATCCAACTCTGTGACCTTATGAAAAATATGGTCAATTCCCTAGATTCTTTGCTTTTATATTGTGGTCTTTACTGAAATACATCTGTAGTTATACTTTGGAGTTATTTGCAGGTGATGTCACATAGATGATTGATTTGAATTCTCACATATGTCTGTTTACTTATTGTTAAGCTGTGTCTACACAAACACACACTGAGTGAATTAATAAAAAATATTATCCTATAATAATAATAATAATACATTAAAAATAGTGTCCTCATTCAGGGGTAAAAGATCTGAAAGTTTTTTAAAAACAAATGCTATAATTCAAGAGTTAAACCTTTCATTTAGAAAGAACAACATGTAAAAATAATAGACACTGGATTTAAACGGCTACAGCTTATCCCCATTTGTAAGTGAAAGACTTGTAAAAATAATAAAGACACTAGCTTTAAGAAGCTCAATCCTGTCATTCTACTTGTACATGTGGAAGTTGTAAGTATGACTGCTACAGTTAAAGAGCCATACCTCATTCTCACTGCTATTGCTAGTTAGGTGTTAACTGTCAATTGCAACTAAAATTAGTACAAACTATATTTCATAGTGTTTTATTCCTTTTTTTTTTTCTGCACTCGTTTGTCAGTGTTCCAACAATGGCATGTAACATGCAAAAGCCTGTAGTTAAAAAGCTATTATACCTTACTGCAAACCTAAACACTGCCAGGAAGATAAGATCTGATTAAAATTATTATGAGTTTTACTATACCAACTATTTATGTAATTGGTAAAAGACACGAGGCATGAAGACAATGCTTAAAAATGATATACCATCCCTTTGTGGAAAGCAAACTAAGAAACTTCTGTGAGTCTAAATGAACATAGATGTAAAGATGGACATTTTGGATTTTGTCCTTCACACATATCACATGAAAGGAAGATAAGCCAGAATCAAAACTGATTGAGAAGGGGTCAATTTCTGACCAATGTTCTGTATGTTTATAAACCAAAAATGAATGAAACTCGAAGAAGCATCCAAAACTACCACTTTGATCTTTCTTGATGCTAGGTTGGACATAAGTACCAAAGTGAAAGGATCCTCAAGAAAGTATGTTTAGTACATGAGCACAAACTTGCTGTAGAAACTCGACAATTAAGACCATTTACAATAACCCTCATTGTTTAACACCAAACAAACACAAAAAGACTGCATAAGAGGATCTCAAAACATTTCCAATGAAATAATCTTTTCACAACCTTGTTCATTTAATATATAAATTCCAAAACAGATTAAATATTATCAAAAACTAAAGATTGAAAAAAAAAAGGTTGGTGTATAACACCTGACAGAAAGAAGGCTTGTGACAAATTTGTAGAGAAAAGTGAGCACTGTGCCAGAACATTTTTTTTTAACCTTGAAGGATATGGTTTGGTCTTGTGGTAGAGCTCTGGATCTTGGAGTCAGTGAGCTGAATTTTAATGTTTGTGATACTCAAAATATTACCAGTTGTGGATGCATAATAAGGATGACAGTCAATTATTTAGTGTGAGTGGTAAAGTGATGCTAAAGTGTCAGTAGTCCAAAATTAGGTATGGTAACAGACAGCCTTAGTAGTTTTGCCATAATTACAAACTACAACTTTGAAATTTCTATATAAAGAATTGAGATAATCCATGTTTGTGACTACTGTAGAATATACTAAAGACTTGAAGTTGCTTTTTCCTGAGATTTAGAGTGGTTTTTTTGTTTTCACAGAATACTTTATATGAAGCTTTTTTATTGTAAGATTTGCAAAAGTAAATGTTTGTTGAAGATAAAATGTATTATATATTTCATTAACCAAATGCCACCAATATGTATGAAATAATAACATACTACAACTGAAACAGACCATCACGTTAAGACAAATTTTAATTCATATTTGACTATATATATATATATATATATAACATTCTAACGAAAATTTAGATTTTTGCAATTTACTTTCTTGTATAATAACAATATTGCAATTTACCTCTATTTGATATATATGTGTATAATTTACCTTTTGTTGTGCCTAAACTTTCTATTTGTATAACTTACAATTGTCTAACACATTTTCCAAAATTTGTCATCAGTTATAACTAAATAATGAAAAGCATATACTATTCATAAGTAACAAAACTAAGGGATTTCTCAATCAGCAAGAACAGTGCACTGTATATATATATGAAAAAACTATTAGATTCATCGTAATTTAATCACAGCTTAATTTTGGTATTTAATGAAAAAAATTATAGTTTGTAACCTAAAAACTTTGAATTAGCTTAAAACAATAAAAACATCTGATATAATGTAAAAAACTGAAAGTGATAAAAAGTGGTGGAATATTATGATGCAGTTCGCAACTCCCGATTTCCTAAAGGTAATGGTGGGCGATAGTTTTCTACAATACAGCCATTCAGTTCACCTCCAGGAGGTTTCTGGCCTTCACAATAAGACTGAAGTTTACGGAATGCTTCCAGCTAAGTAAAAAAAAAAGTTTATAGTAAAAACTATTTTCTTTAAAACGGTTATTTTAAATGTGGTATTCTTAAGCAGAATCAGTTAACAACAAGTAAGTTTAAAAGCATAACAATAGGAAGTACAGTGATAGAACAAGTTCTGCAGAATAGAAAAATCAAATAAACCAAGGACAAATGTGTTGAAGGAAAAGCAAAAACAATCTTTACTAAGGCTTAACAACAAAGTACATAAGCATTGTACCTGTTCAGCTACTAGAAAATTAATATCACAATGGTCATATTGTACTTCTGTTTATATAGCAGAAATGTAGGAAACAGTTGTTGGAGCTTTAATAACTTCACCAAAGACAAAAGAAATCTGTGTGGTCAAACCATGTCAAAATGACTCAGTTTAATCATCTATAAATTACAGCTACAGGGAAGTGTAGGCATGTAAGAACAACTTGTCATTGACTGAGCTAATGCAAATAAAAGTTGGCCAAGCTCTATTTACGAAAATGTATTTGAAAAATAGATGAAATATAATAATAGTTCTGGGGTTAGATAAGATGTTCATAAATTAAGTCCATAATAGATTTCAATTAGAATTGATACATATTTCACGTTATTTAAAAGGACCCAAAACAATGCACTAGTAAAAAGTTACATAAAAAAAAGGATAATTTTAAGGAGTATACAAATTACTGGGTAGTGTAATTATCCAACATTGTGCAATTTATCAAATAAGAAAACCCACTGCCAACAGTAGACTACTAGTACAACATGTCAAAATTGAACAAAATATATAGAGTTGTACTTCAATTCACTATTTATCTAACCACATATTGAATATTTCATCACTAAGATATGCTCTTTCTAAAATTTCCTTTAAAACTTAATATTCACCTCCACAGTGTTGATATTTTCAGTGCTAAATCACCTTAAAAGGTTTTAATTAGTCACTTCTGTTTATGTACTTGTTAACAGCAGGACAACTTTATAACATGCCTCCTTCAAAAGCTTTATCTAGTAAACCATGTTTCTGCACTTATAAAACAGAAATTTCAGAACTAAAAAAAAATTTTGAATTTGTACACAAAATTTTAGAAAATTATGCAGCAGACCTATCTGAAATAAAATAAAATATGTTTTTATTAACATAAACTGATGTAAATAATATTCTAAAAATTGGCTTTAAAAATCATTTTGATGGTACAGCATTACATGAAAATTATTAACATCTATAAAAGTCACTCTTAGTAATCCTTACACCTATACATATAACTGTTTTTTTGTGTATTTCTTTTTCTCCTTCATCTTTATATTCTTATGCAATGGATGGACTGAAATCCATATTAACAACGAATATCATTCTGCTAGTAGAAAGTGTCAAAATTCAACAAGATATACAAAGTTGTGATAATTCAAGCTGCCATGGTCTAAAACTAAGAAATTCATATTAACAACGAATATCATTCTGCTAGTAGAAAGTGTCAAAATTCAACAAGATATACAAAGTTGTGATAATTCAAGCTGCCATGGTCTAAAACTAAGAAATTCATATTAACAACGAATATCATTCTGCTAGTAGAAAGTGTCAAAATTCAACAAGATATACAAAGTTGTGATAATTCAAGCTGCCATGGTCTAAAACTAAGAAATTCATATTAGAAAATTTATTTATAAATATCCTTGTAAACAACATTTCCACCCAGAACATAGCTACATAGAGCTGATTATGACAAAATAAATTGGCTAAGTGCAACCCTCACAAAGAAATTTTTTCCCCAAATTATATTATTGTAAAATACTGATGAACTAGAGACTGAATGTAAAGTTTACACTGTGTATGTATCATCTACAAGTTTAGTGACATTCAAGATAAAACTGAAACTTGCTTTTTAATATCCTTTTATGGAGAGGTAATAAACTGTTTTTCCATATTTGATATTTGTTTTCAGATATTTTTACAAAGCTAATTAATTCTTAAGGACTATCTGAGCTATTCATCCCCAATTTTGAACTGATAAACTAGAGGGAGGGTAGCTAGTCAACAACATCCACTGCCAACTCTTGTGATACTGGTGTCTGACCAAATAGTAGGATTTGTCTTTCACCCTTATAACAGACCCAAAGATCCATATTCCAACACACTATCCACACAGTTGATGTAATGAAAGAATGAATGCTTTTGTGCTACATTTAACCTACTCACTGCAATAGGCATATGCAGGGTACTTTCTACCTAACCTTTGTTTTGATATCACAATAATAATATTTTTCTAATGTACTTTTAAAAAGAATAATATAGTTATGAAATACTTTGAGACATTACAGAAATTTATACCTGATACCAGATTTAAAAAAAACAACTAATTATATGTATATAATTTATCTATTTTTATACTACAAGTGTCTTATGGCCACAAGTTAAGCAACTGTAAAGTAATTATATAATTTATTTTAAGTCAGTATCATGAGTACCTTACAACTGCAAGCTAAATGAGTGTATCATGGATATCAAAACACCATACACACACTTGCTAATGCTAAGTAACAGTTATTCTTTCTTCTGCTAGCTGATCACAACCTTTCCTCAAGTGCTATCTTGGACCAATTAAATAATGAAGCAATAAAATATAGTTTATGTAACCACAAAAATGTTAAAGACTAGTACACAAAAAGTATTCCAATTTCTATAGTTTACTCCTAGGTTTAGAAAATATTATGTTAAGCATATTTTTTCTTATATTCAAGTAACCTTAAAAGAAAATACAAAACTTATATCACAGTTCCTGGTATAGAAGTTCCTATCTGATCAAGAATCTTTAAGAGAAATATAATGAATAATAAACAATTATTATGATTCTGTCACATTCCTCTAGCATGCATTTGGTTTAATTAGTACTAATTTAAATACAAATTTAAAAGAAACATGAGAAAGTTATTTTTTCTCCAAGTACAGCTCTCACCTGATCTTCCGATACCTGCACAGAGTTCTTAAACACAATCCAGGTGACACTTTCGTAACATGGTGGAGTTGTTAGTGATCCTGGATATGTCCAGTAGGCTTTGTTATCTACAAATAAACATAAAGAAATAGAACTTTTACTCATAAAGGTAAAAATAAAACCTAGAAAATATACATGGTTTTTTGTAAAAACACAACCAATGTTCTTACAGTACTTATGATAAAACAACTTTTAAAAGACTTTTAGACAAACATCCTGTATATGAAATATAAACACATATTACATCAACTTACATCTACACTTGGCCAAATCATGGGCACTAAACAAGACTTAAGAATTATGAAAATGCAAGTGTTCTTATATTACATGTTTTCATTTAAATATTGTTCAACCAACAGTGAGACTGTAAGTTCTTCAATATAAGGATAATTTCCACTTGCAATGTTTTTCAACAGAAAATATTTAAACAAGTAAACATAAAATTGAAAACAACAGTACTCAGTGAAGTTGGTGGTGAGACAAAAGATTATTTTAAAAAAAAGGGCTAACTGGTAATTATTTGCACATTGAATGATTAGATAAAACTCTCTTTGTAGCAAATGATCAGAATGAAGAACTACAAAATCAAATATCTCAAACTGTTGTTTGAATAAATTAGGATAATGAAGTGTGAAAAAATCCATCAGAATGATACAATAGTCTGTGTAGTCTAAGTTGGTCTCGTAACTTGACACAATAAAAGTACTACCTTTAATTTACCTTACTGAATATAGTAAAATTTTGTAAAGACAATTAAGCAAAGTAAATATTACCTTACTTTACACTAATAAACTAATCACTAAATACTAGCTGTAGTTAATAACGTAGTTATAAAAATGTATTACATATCTTGCATAACTCATTAAAGCTAACATACCCAAAAAAAGTGCTCCACATTTGTCATTTAATTAGGGTTATAATGTACTTAGTGCTGCAGTTCTGCTGGTAAAACTTAGAAAGCATTACATTACAGTTCAGAAGAAAAATTACCAGCTTTCTGAATTCAAACTGTAACTTTTAAAAATAAAATACTTTTTAGTACAGAGTGGTCATCAGGTGTGAGATAGCTTTATTAATCCAGACACTTGTGGTCTAGATACACCAGTTTCCATCCATGTTTTTTTTGAAATAGTTGAAATAAAATTAGAATATTTGAAAAGAATATATAACACAGAAGATTTAAACATAAACAGGGTACAGACATATTTATTAACACTTAATATATGAAATAGTTAATTTTGTCATTGTTACAGTTAATATAAGTGAATATTAACTAGTAGAGAAAAAAATAACTAGCAACTATTTGCTAATACTGTCAGTAGCTGAGATCAAGGTCAGAGTTAAATGTTTTACTTTTATACAGCTGAAAACGTAAAGAAATGGTTAAAGTGACTTAAAGAAATAGAAATTTGCAGACAATGTTTTGAGCAAACAGCATCTATCAAGTCTCAAAGAAGGTAATTTGGCTGTAACTCTGACCACACACACACACTTCTCTCGTTTCCTTACAACTAGTTTAACCCTTTCTTACTATTGTGAAATGATATCATGTTGTGGTTTTACTTTTATACATGTATACATGAAATATAACTTAGAAAAGTGAGACGCCTCTATTTTTGTTTCTATTTTACATGTACCTTACCATAGCAAAATGCTACATTAACTAAACAGATATCTGGCAAAGATAAAAATGCCTGAAGAAAAACTTAACATGGGAAAATGATAAACTGTTGGATAAATCTTACTAGGGATAAGTGTTGCAGGATCAAATCTTCTGGGAAGAGGAAGTTTATCGTCTTTATATCTCACACTGGGCATGAGATCGGAAAGTTTTCTCAATTCAGGATGTTCATCTCCTACCTACAGACATGATAAATATGTTTTTACCTATTAAAATCAAGGTAGAGAGTCTCTATTATTTATGATGTAAAGAACCTTTCACCCTGTGTTTGTATAGATGTATTGTTACTTTACGATCAATTATAAAGAAGGACTGTCACATATCAATACCACCACCACTGTTAAAGTTAACTTTTTATGTGATCTACAAATTATAGCAAAGTACTTTTATCCAAAAACAAAAGTGTGAAAATCATCACTAGTTATAACAGCAATCAGAAAACTTACAAATACCTGCAAAACAGGTGGGCCCTAACTGACATGTACAAACATTTCTATTTCAAATTTGCCTCTGAGGACATGTACCAACCTGCTCAATACAGCTAGCCTCCTCTAGACTTGTAGTATAATTTCTTGTATTATATTATTTGTTATTATTTTGCTGTGAGTACAAAGAAGTGCTTGATATTTTGATGCACAATGAGATAAAAAGAAACTCAACTTTATTTCCTAATTTTCATAAAGTCAATCATTTTTAAGCTACGAGACAGGATTAATCATTAGTAACTTGGAATAATGAGTTAAAAGGTGATGTGAGATAGGTTTGGGAAATTCTTAAAACTTCTTTTAATTCAAGATAGACTGTTTCTAAGAAATGGAAAAGGATAACTGGAAATAAAAGAGAAAATTAAGAAGCTTAAAGTGACAGACAGGATGGCAAATTTACACAACTAAAAAAAAATATGGATTTGGTTCAACAAAATTAGAAAATGAAAAAGGATTATGAGAACAGCTGGTTGATATGCTAAAATAACAGCAAAGATTTTTTTGTCTAAGGTAAGCAAATGATAAAATGGGGATTCAGCCCTTAAAGGATGTTGATAGTAAAGTTTTAGTTGAAGACTAAGAGATGGCTAATCTTTAAAATAAACTCTTCTGTTCTTACAAGAAGATGTTACAAATATTACTGATCTTTAAGAATTCTATGAAAAAAATATTGTAATTGACTTTTGATGGCAAACAGAAAGATTGAAAATAGATAAAGCTTGTACCTGGATCAGATAAGGTTTTCCACAGGGTTTTAAAGGAGGTTAAAGATCAAATATGCAATCCTCACTCTCTCTTTTTTTCTTTATGGATTCATGAGTTGTTGATCTTACTCTATTATTAAAAGGAATGATAAGAGTTTCTCTAGAATTTATAGATAATGTCTTAATTCTGTATCGGAAATATTTATAAATTCTGAAAAAAAAAAGCTCTACAAATAATGGTTCAAAAACTAGGAGTGCAGCATAACTCTCTGGCTTAAAGTATAAGGAAGCTGTGCATTTGCTGATGGTGTTAGATCATGATTGTATTACTTTTCAGCACACCCCATCCTTAAAGGATAAGGGTTTAGATAAGGTCTCCTATGATGATTCTATGGATGGCATAGAAATGAGAAATGAAGACTAAGAGTTTATTTTGTTAAAGATTACAAGATTATTAGGGGGCCTCTGATTTATTTATGCTCTGTTCTGAAAACAATAGGACCAAAGGACACAAGTTTAATAGTTGGGAAAAAAGAGGCTTGGCTTCAGTTAAGGCATTTTTATTTGTTTAAAAAGGAGATTGAATTATGGAATAAGATTTCATCTACTTCTATAAAGGCCAGCGATTTACTTGATGATTTCCTGAAAAATAAAGCAAAGTTCTAAATTTTACTTTTCTCAAGGTGGGTGTGAAAAAGATAGCCTTGAAGAATCAAATGGTTCCTTTTTATCCATGTGTTATAATATTATGATTAGTCTTCTGTGGTCATGTAGTAATGTCATTAGTTTACTTACCTGTAGAAATATACCCAATACTGCTAGTCCGTCCTCTTCAGATGCTGCCTTTTCAAAACTTTCATACTTTTCAGAATTCCAATGAACTAGATGGATCTGAAAAATTCATATAAAAAAAAGTAAACTGAATGAATTAATAAAAAAAATATTCGTTAACTTGTTTTTTATTCACTTTCATCTCAATATATATATAATGGAGATCTATATTTAAAGCATCAGTTGAAGAAATTAATCATAAAAATTATTATTATAAGTTGACGAATGAAAATAATAGTTATATATTAAACTATACCAGCTTTGGTAGAATCATCTGTGGTAATTCTTAAAATTGTGAAAACAAAACATCCTTCTTTCTTTGCAATTAAGTCATCATGAAAATCATGTATAATACATACTGTCTTGTTACCTATCTACTCAAACATACTTTACTGAAAAATGTGTACTGATAAAAAATTGGGTGAAAGGCTGTTCTCAGGATGATTCATCTCTCCTGTGTGCATGATTTTAATAGCATATATACAATTTCTAGTAACTAAAGTAAAAGGGTTAAAGTTAATCTTAATAGTTTTTACCTCTGCATATGCACATACAATATATTTTGTTCTAACCAATAATCCAATAACTTTTCTGTTTAAATTAATACAAATCTGATCAACAGGGTTCATTCTTTAACTCAATGAATTCTGGTATTACTAATGCAAAGTTTGACATTAGTAAGAAATATTAGTATTAAAATTGTCTTAGCACACTTATATAATGTTTCAAAGCCATAACTGAACTTAGCAACATCTTTTGAGATAGAGTATTTTAAAAGATTACTAGTATAACAAGCAGCTAAGACTAACCTTAGCAGGAATATTTATTCTGCCAGTTTGTTCCGATCTCACTTATACTAGTAGAGAATCACAAGTTAAAACTAATTTCACTCCGGATTAACATTTCACCAGTTACTATATTTTCAGATCTTGGTAGATTTATTACAGAATCACTAACCATGACTAGTCTCAGTACTGCATTTTCAGATCTTACTATTATTAGTAAAGAATCAGTAACAAAGTCTAACCTCAGTAGGAAACATCCATTCTACCACTGTATATTCTGATTTTAGTAGTGTAATAGTGAGTTTACCCTACAGCTCATTTGGTAAAGTGCTTACCTGGCATATGACAGGTCTCTGGGTCAAATCCAAGGTGAGAAGATATACTACAATAAAATAAAATCCCCACATTGTCTACTAAACAGTGGCCATATTCCACAACCTTATATTAAGCACAATAACAGGTCTTCTTTCAGAATGGGAAAGGATGAAATAGTTAGAGTTGTTAAAAGATGACTTACTTGGATGACTGCTAGTAGGTTAATGTTAACCCTTTAGTTAACTTTTTTAAATTGCTTGCCTGGTATATGACAGGTCTTGGGTTCAAACCTGAACCAAGGAATAGGTATCATGAAAAATAAATTACTGCACTGTTACTAGTATAAAAACCATTAAATAAGACTAATTTCAGCAGTGAAAATATCTTCAGCCACTGTATGTTCAGCTCTTGTTACTACTATTGGACAATCAGTAACTAAGATTAAACATAGCAGGAAAAATTCCTTCAGCTATCACATCTTCATATTTTATTAGCACAATTACAGAATCAGCAACTAAGACTAACCTCAGCAGGGAACATCTCTTCTGCTGCTGTATGTTTAGATTTTACTAGCAAAGGTATAGAATCAGTAACTACAATTAATCTCAGCATGGAACATACCTTTATTCTACTGTATGTTCAGATTTTACTATTAAAAGTATAGAATCAGTAACTAGGACTAACCTCAGCAGGGAACATCTCTTCTGCTACTGTATGTTCAGAGCCAGTTTCACTGTTTTTTCCCCAGTGGCAGTGGAACTGGATCAACTGATATTTATTTGAAAGTGGCCCTCCATCTAAGTCTGTTTATAAATTAGAGAATATTGAAAAAATATTAGAAAGGAATGAGAAACACTGAAACATCAAATGAAGAAAGTAAATAAATTTGAACCTTTTCTACATTATACATAAATTTTACTTCACTCTTGTACACTTACTAACTGTTTATAACTACCTGAATTCTATGCATTCAATACCAAATGTGTTTACTAGTGCTATAACTGTTTGCTAGCACATGTTGATCTAACAGTCTCAATTCTGTGAATTTATTGATATATTCCTTTAACAATTTAACTGATGCTGTGCAGAAGACCAAATTTAAATAAATAATATCAGCTTCCATGTTTTTCCTTATTAAAACTTGAAATGGCACTAACTGAAACTGTGTTAGAAAATAAAATATAAAACAATGTCTTAGTGAGTTAACCATATTTCTGAACTTTTTTATTTCTTAATGATTCTGTGGGTTACATGTAACTAATAATAACATGAAAAAATTTACTTAAAGTCTAGTTTATAAAAAAACACAAAGTTACTGCATCATCTCTTACCATAGCAGTATAAACACTTACTAGGTGACGCACTGCTGACTTGGACTTTCCATCCATGTCCAGTATTTAACAATGTTGTACATTTTACTGAGCTATAGTCCCATTTTAGAGGGTTATCATTTAGTGTTGGGTCCACTATTGCCACAGAGGGATCAAGATTGATAGGTGATTGTCTGCTACCAGCAGCAGCAGGAAACTTGTCAGACCATGTGGCTGGTCCTGTAGGAAAACTAAAAAGTAATATCCACCAAAACTGACATCATCAGCATGTAAAGTTATATAAGTAATTTCAAAATGACTTAAATAGTTAATTGAGGAATTTGTATGTGCATAGTTGTATATAAATACTTACATATATCAAAAATAATAAATTTGAAATCATCCAAGTAAAATGAAAAATATATATTGAAAACAACCTGAGCATTATTCAAAGTGTTTTAATGAAATATTAGTAACTAGTTTTGTGACACATCTCTCTTCTGTGAATTTTAGTTCTTGATTCAGGAATATCAGGTGAAGAGCAAAGAAAAACTACAAATATAAAATATTATAGAGGGGAAATTAGTGGAATTTGCTAACTGTTTCGTCGTTGAGCTCATTAATCAGCTACATTCAACTATTCTTTGATAGATTGTTTCAGCAAAGTATTTATGATGAAACTTTGTAGAATGGAAGGCAACTGCCTGTTGTAACGGACGACATCTCGAAAGTTTTCCACCTTTTGTCTTCAGGCCCAACATTCAACTAATCAGTTATTCTAACATGAGACTTGGATAGTTGGAATAATCAAAAATAGTAATAACTGGAAACACTGCCCTAACTGATTAAGCTGAACAACCTTGAGTTTATCAAAAATAGTAATAAAAAGCCATAATGACTATATTTTGATTACCCGAATAGCTGGAATAATTTAAAACAGTAATATTAGTAAAAAATTAATTTCAATTAGTTGATTGTGTTTTTGTGAAATTAATCAATTTCATCATAATTTTGATTAGATTATTTTACCTGACACTTATCAATGACGAGTGGAAATGATAGGTTGAAATAGTCAGGGTAAATTATGTTTGAAAATGATGGGTTTGATTGTGAATTTCAGAAGACTTGGAAAGACACACTACATTACATTGCAAAGCTTACTTACTTAATGGTTGTACTGAGGAAGACTGTGCTAATAGAGGGTTAAAATATTAGCTGTTATTATTAATCAGAAAGTAAGACAGGCATAGGTTAGAGTTAGGATAAAAGTCACTATGGGGGAAAATGAAATTTTGAATGCTAATTTTACAAGAGTTCACAATAGCAAAAATGTTAAAATTAATGAGAGAGAGGTTCAGTTAACATTGAGGTACCATTCTATAATAGATTTGAACCAGTGGCTGCTTGCAAATAGGAATAGATTATCATTAAATAAATGCATAAAATTATCTATAGTGGGAAGTGCAAAACGACCAAGACTACAGTTGTTGTTTTTCAGGTACTAAAGTACTGGACAGTATAAAGCATGTTGACAGTTTATTTTCTACCAAGAAACATTCTATTTTTATAGTGCATGTAAGAGTGAATGATGTTGAAAGTTGTAAGTGAAAAGAGCTGTTACAAAAGTATACAGAACTCCTTCAAAGGTTTACAGATGGTTTGAGATGTGTGACTTTCTTGAGTACTCTCACAGGTCAGATATAGGAATAAATTACTTAGCAGGATAAAAACCTTAAATGAAAGATCATGAAGGATATGGTTAATGCAACATGTGGCTGTTTGAAAAAATGTTCAGATGAATGATATGCTAGAGATAGTCTCCACTTAAGCAGGTAACGTAGTAGGATGTCCGAGAAAGGTCTAAATATATTTATTCAAAATTCTGTAAACTGTCCGACAGATTATACACTAAAAGTCAGGTTCCAAAACTCATGGTGGGCAAAGCATGGAAAGCCCTTTGTGTATCTTTGTGCTTAACAATAAACAAACATACAGTTTAAACTAAAGTTGCAAAGTAGAGAGGGAAATTGTGAATAAACAGATTGATAGGATATCCATGGCAAGAGGAGTCTGAAAAAAGGAAGTTCAGAATATAGATTAAATTATAATTTTAAAGATAAGTTGTTAGATACACATAGTACAATTACAAATAAGCTTAGTTTCTAATATTTTAATGTTAGGAGTATTAGGAACAAAACAGATAACTTAAGGGCTCTATTTAATTTAATACTAGCAGAGACCGGCAAAACATTTCCGGCCAAATTAGTATCTTTATTGAAACAGTACTTCTTTAAATATAACAGTTCTAGCACAATATAACAAATTGT